GTTTATATGAATAATCGAGGCGAAAACAGTAGGCAAATAAAAACTTGAACAAATTCTTACAATATTGTCAAGTCTACAAGAGTGCACACATAGTCAGTCATGCCCCGTTCACTCCGATATCGATCAACGACCAATGCTCTGATCGATATCAGAGGTCAAGTTCCTGATCACTGACTAGGCCCGAATCCAAGGTATCAGAAAAAAACTCAGCGTTACCCGTAAACAAAAGCAGTTTCGATAATTGTACTGCATTTGTTGCTTCAAAAGAGATTTCCTTAGAGCGCCTTCATACTTCACGATTCGATCGCTTGGATCGCCCGATCAAATCGCGAAGTATGAACGCGCTCTTGGCTTCCGTAACCTCTCACCGCGGTGTGCCGATCATGAGAGTTTGTCTAGAAGGGGCGAGACCGAAAGGGCACTGCGGGTTGGGGCGTGAGGCTACGGTAAGCGCAAAACTACCATAATTTCTGTCATGTAGGATAGAGAAACAATAACATCGGCAAAAGGCGGCGCTACTGCAGCTTGGGGTGGGGGGGACAACTGCACCGCTCAAAAATCTCCTTCACTTCATGGCTGAACCATAGAAGAGCGCAGACGACGAGAACCCACGCGGCCTCGTCTCAAGCAGCGTTTAGACTTCGCGCTAACGTGCGTCGCCGCGCTACCATTTCAACAGCGCTCCATTGCTATGGACAGGAACGCAGCCATAGACGGGTATCGATCAGCGCCGGCCACTAGCGTTTTTAGAGAGTATAGGAAACTAGGATGCACCAGGCTGTGAGATCAGACATCTAGGAATCATCCTAATCTCCTACACTCTCTCTAGGTAGCAGGGACGGCACCAATCGATATCCGTCTGTGGCTACGTTCGAGCCTGTAGCATCGGAGCGTTGTTGCAATGGTACAGCGTCGAAGCATGTCTTCGCGAAGTATGAACGCTGAATGGAACGAAGCTGCGGGGACTTTCGTCGTCCGTACTATCCGAAGTCTGAACACTACCTCGGCACCTAGTAGAGCGTAAACAGCCGTCCCGCATCCTGTCCCCTCCCCCTTAACTCAGGAGCGCCAAAACAGTAATCTCACCAGGATAATCAACATAAACGATTTCAAAATTATGAAATCGAAAGAACATAGGGGAAAAAGAATTTTGAAGGATATCAACAACCGTCGGTTAGAACACCGCGAGATTAAATAAAAACAAAAGGTACCGGCGGATGAATGTGATGTGAAAGCGTAAATACGAGAGGTTACAGAAACGAGCCGCTTTTTACAAAAACCAAAAGAGAAAGATACAAATTGTAGCAGTGGATTTTCGTCGTCAAGCGCGAAGCAATTCAAGCAATTTCAAGCTCAGAAAGCGCTCCAAACATCAACACTTTGGAGAAAACACGACACAACAGTACAACAAAACAGTAACGATGATGCTCTAAATCACAGCCAATTTTGAGCATTTGACCAGTAACCAGCAAATACTTAGGTAATCAGCCCAAAATTAACTAAAGTAATGTGACGTGGGGAATGTGCAACGAATACATTGGTGCTTGTAATAGTAGTCAGGATTTTGGCTAGGTAATATGGCCAATTTGTGCCAGAAGGGCACATTCTGCCGCTATGTGCCTCAGGGTTTCTTCGATTTAACCACAATCCGACTCCCGAAAACCCTTTTCAGGTCACAGTTCAGCCCCATATTTCAAGGGTCAAATCCCTCATGTTTCCTAGCACTATTACAAACACCATTTACAACAACAAAACATTCACAAACTGTTCAAATGTGCTTGACAGCGTGGAAAAACCAATTCGTTTTCGTCGCCCATGAGCCATTGAAGGCTTCGTCAAAGATCTCTGAGAAAAACGCTCTTGCCTCTGTCATCATACCGTCATGAAATGCTACTCGTAACGTGCTCTGAAACAAAAATCAAAAATAAAACAAAAAATAGAAAATGGCATCAATGACTTGGGAGGGGGGGGGTGCGCATATTCAAAGGACTACTACATCACGAAGCCCATCCCCGCTTTAAGTTTCGGTCGAAGTCGTAACCTCATTACTGCAGTACCTGCATAAGGAGTCCTTCAAATCCCCCCCCCCCCCCGTTGAGCTGAGCACTGCGCAGGATATCTCGCAAATATCCCTAGTTCTAAATACAACCGCAATAAGCGTACAGGCTGAGATTCATGACCACTGTACCCTCATCGTTGGGACGCCCTTCCTTCTAGTATGGTAATCAAAAGGAGTGTATTAATTTAAAAGGCAAAAAGGTGCGAGTACTCGCCCCTCTAAATGCCCCCCCCCCTAAGGCTACGAGCTCGTTATCAAAACTGCTGAATCACGATCAAAGCGCTCTGCCTCAGCCGATATCGAACCCGAATATCGTATTTCAGGGCAAGGGTTGGTAAGTCGATTAATCACTTGCAACTATTCTGAATTACACATTCCGCTATAAGCAGATGGGCGGAGATCTAACATCTCGCCTTTCTCGTTGCAACATCGCTCCTCCTAATATGGTGAAGAGAACGAACGCGTCCATAGTAAGGCCTCGCCCACTGACTTATCGCGGCGTAAAAATCCCTACCTCAACTCTGTTGACTCAAACCGTGAACACAATCGCGCCAACGGCTCTGCCTGGTAGCCTGCTAATTTGCAATGTTCGCGCTTCTCGACTTCGGAATCTTCAGGTAAAAACACAAGCTCTTGTTAGCAATTAAATGGCACCACTGTGATGACCCGAAAACGTATGGTTCAAATAATCAAACCTTTAGGTGATCCAAATCAGCTTCAGTTGACAGTTCTGGTAATTCCATCGATTGCATTACAGTGAACAGGGACAGAAATAGATCGCGCTCTTCCCAAAGCCTCATGTAGGCATCGCAACAAAGCTTTTTGAATCTGAAATGTATGTAACGCTGTTACGGTGCGTGATCAGGCATCGAGGTTGATATGGCGTCAGGAGGTTCAGAGTGTCCGCGATGAACAACTCTTGTACGGCATTTCGCCTGGCAAAAAAACTCTACAACTAGGAGGGTGCGTTCAGGACGTGGAGCGCTTTTTGAAAACGGTTTTTGCATGATGTGGGGTTACGTGGCATGGAGTACCAAACTGGTGTTCATTTTTCCTGAACGCCTCTGGAATGCCAAAAATGGAGTGAAAAAGAAGTCCATGGAAACCGACTGTTTTTGAGCCTGAATGGGCTCTAAATCACTCGCAACTTCGGCCAGTTGCTGCCTATAGGGTCCTTATAAAGGTACTGGTATCGATGAGAAAAGTAGTCGCCAGATGGGGTCCTACTTGTGGCACGTAGTCCCCAATCTGGAGCCAAGTCTTTCTCCCACTGGAGTCGCTATGTACATTCGTTTGAGGGACTTGCAGGGCCATTCTGACGCCAGATTGGGTTGATGTCAAGAATAAGTGTCAGAATCGTGATCAGGACCATCGATTACCCCTATAGGCAAACTTTCGGCCAAAAAAATTTTTTTGACTTTTTTTGAGTTGTGATAGACCGACCATTTGGTCGTCGGTGATGACCGGAGACCCACAACTTTGGAGCTGCGATGACGTAGCGATGACGTGGTGGGCCGCCGGGCAGCCGCATCGCGGATTTGGTGCTCATAAGGTCCATTCATACTTGGCATGGGCATGGGTGGCCGCAGAACAAGTGAAAAACCATCCTGGACATTTGTCGACCCCCGCGACGGCTCGCTCAACGAAGATGTCGTCCTCCCCTACCAAGAGGAGAGACTCATCCGATTTCTTCATCAAATGCACCTGGAGGAATGATGACTATTTTGTTCTTTTTTTCGATGGCGTTTATGGTTGTTGCTAGTTTTTTGTTTCCGTACCACTGAATGAGGGTTTCGATAACCAGCAAAAGTACGACTTCAACAAAGTGACTCTTGAGCATAACCCAATGCACAGACTCAAAAAAGTCAAAAAAAATTTTTGGCTGAAAGTTTGCCTATAGGGGTAATCGATGGTCCTGATCACGATTCTGACACTTATTCTTGACGTCAATCCAATCTGGCGTCAGAATGGCCCTGCAAGTCCCTCAAACGAATGTACATAGCGACCCAGTGGGAGAAAGACGTGTCGCAAATTGGAGATAAATGGCACTGGAGCTGAAAGTAAATGCCATAGTCGTGATCAGGGCACCGAATAACATAAAAGCTCAACTTTCAGACAAGTTCTTGCTTAATGGTATGTGAAATCGAAATTGCTGAATAGCACCGACTACGGGCTATAACTATTTAGGATGTGCCTATAAATGGCAGATACGCCGAGTAAAATTCATTTACAGACGTAAGATGGAAGCGACGAACTAATTGGATAAAGTAAATAAATGCAAAAACGTGCAGCCGAGGGGAGTCGAACCATTCATCCCCATCCCACTGTCTGCTGTGGTGAATGCCATCCAGGCGCTATCCACTAATGGCCATCCGATCATTGGCAGGGACCACTTCGATGCTTAAGAGCCCATTCGATTTGCCGTCCCGACTCTTAAACTACAGTCTCACAAGGTAAGACCCCATTGACGACCACTTTTCTCATAGATACCAGTACAGCCTTTATAAGGACCCTATAGGCAGCAACTGGCCGAACTTGCGAGTGATTTAGAGCCCATTCAGGCTCAATAACAGTCGGTTTCCATGGACTTTTTTTTCAGCTTCGCATTTTGGCATTCCCAGAGGCGTTCAGGAAAAAATGAACACCAGTTTGGTACTCCATGCACGTGACCCCACATCATGCGAAAAACCGTTTTCAAAAAGCGCTCCACGTCCTGAACGACCTCCCTAGTAAGGGAGAGGGCGCTATATGCCGCATTATAGGTACAGTGGTCCCTACTTTTTTCCAGTGACCCCGCCTCCAGGCTCCGCCTATAGTGCCCGGCATTCAGTGAAAAACGAGATTGCAGGACGAAAAGCATGAAAATCGTCTTTTGTACGATCGTAGAGCTCTTATCGGTGAATCAGATGTGCGTATGAGGGCATAGTGTGGGAGATAGAGTTAAATGGGCACGTTCAATGGGACAAAGTGGGGTTCTAATCTAAGGCAAGGGGAACATGTTTTTTGTGTTTTTTCTTCACTGTGAGTTACCAACCCGCTTCTATAATGTGAACGCCCCCTAATCCAGCTGTCGGAGATGGGCGCAATAATCGCGGGTTCTGCCTTTAACTATGAGGAGACAACGAACAAGAACAAGTCTTCGTGTACAAGAGATTAACGCAAAGAAGATAGGGTTTGGGGGGGGGGGAAGGTGTGTATAGCAAAAATTTCACACAATGTAGAAGTAAAATACCTACTAAAAATTAAGTTGAGAAAAACCTACTTGGTAACTTCATGACTATCCTTTGACACCGGTCTGCCTTGTCCTATCACACATAAAAAATGCTCTGTGAGTACAAACGGCACACGATCCCGTCGAATTCCAAGTTTTGTTTTTCCGTGTCCCAAGATGTGGCCGAAATCAATGTGGAACAGCTTGCCATCGCGAGTCATCATTATGTTGTCATTATGTCGGTCCTAGAATAATTGGAGCTGATGTTTGCAGAAAATGCAAAATTTGGCGCTGCTCGGCTTGGGAGGGGGAGGCATTCTCCACTTTCCTTAGTTTCTTTTGCTAGTTTACGTTAACGAACAGATGAAGAAGTACAAGTGAGCCGCTTTGGTGAAAAGAATTTGCAGCACATCACAAGACGGCCTATACAGATTTCTCTAAGTACCATTTGATGCCCCCACTAAGCTGAACTGCGCCAAAAAATTTTTCCACTTTTCTTCTAAGGAAACTTAGAACTTCCTTAGGCAACGAGAGACCTACCATGATTCCCATTATGAATGTTCCGACGGAATAGCCAACACATGACATCAAAAATCGATCAACACACTCCATATACCTGGGAAATTATGACTTCAATTCGAAAAATCACAAAAATTATGAAATAACCGGGAACATGACAATTGAAAAACCAGCGTTCTATCCAGGAGACTTTGGAACGATGGGCACCGATGAGAAACCTACTTTTTCGTTGATCCCGCAATATTCTTGATGTATCTATTGATAAATGTTGTTTCCAATGACTTCACTGCCGTGCCCACTTTGCCACCTTCAGATTGGATCTCAAATATCGTCGAGCAGTTTGGAACCACGCCGATCATACCATACTGAAATAAAATTATTGCAAATGAAAAAAAGACAGTACTGCCAGGGTGCAGGATGCGCTGCGAAGATACGGTACTACTAACAATGTAGAAAAACATCAATGTAACAGCGACTTTCGCAGCTCAATCCCTTTCTGAGGTGCGGTGCGCATACTACTCTCATTCAGAATCTTAGTGGCTTATTGAATGCGATGTGGCCTATACAATGACTTGCGGTGGCCAGCCGATGTACAAGTCAGTGTTTTATCCTCCCAGACGAATCTGGTACCAATTCACCGTCCCCGGAGGGTAGAAGGCTTGGTTGGCCTGGGCGGGAGTCGATACCGGGATTTGACCCCGGACCGCACGCGTGGTAAAGAACGAGAAAATGCAGCAACAAAACTGAGCAGGGATACCTTTGTGCCCATCGGAAGGACAGGATATAAACTTAAACAACAATCGAGTTGATTTCGCTTCCAGATACTATCCATCAACTCCAACATTTGCAAAACTAACATGTCCTGGCGCAGATCTGAAATCAACAAATGGTGGCAATACTAAGAAACTACCAGGTACGAAAGAAAACCTTACCATCTCCATTTTTGAAAATTATTTCATATGTGGGCAAATGATATTCTGAAAGAGGACTTCGATTCTGCCACGAAAGCAGCAACGGCATTTTTGCACTTCCCAACACCCGACATTTGTCGATCCTAGAAGAAAGACTTGTAACCTTTTCACGCATTAATGAGGTTAGACGGATCGAAAGGAGAGGGGGCAGCTCATTTTTTCGTGACAATTTACTTTCTCATGTCACTACTGACATCTCGGGCCAACTCAAGCAACTATAAATACTTTGTAAATCGGACTGACCGGAGGTGCCCCAACGCATTACTGGGATCAAGCGGAGAGTCGATTTTTTCCAGTGTTGGACAGTTGTTTCGCAATTCCTCTCGGAAACGCTAAAATTCGACCTTTGAAAAAAAAATTGAAACATTGCAGCATTTGCAGAAAAGACAACTAAAATCAGATCAGACTGAGCTACCGATCGCTTACCTCAGTTGCTGCATCTTTTTCACGAATTCCTTTGATAAGAAGGCTCAGTCTATGCAAATAGTCCACCATTTCTACCTGAAACGAGCAGAAATCAATCATTTTGGGAAGTCATAAGCTGAGCAGTACAGCAACAACAGCACCAGGCACTCACCTGTTTCACAACCGTTCGAATATGTTCATCATTACCGCGCAGATATGCTTCAATTATCAAGGCAAATCGCTTATACATCTCGCTTATATTGCCACCCGAATCTCTAAACGTTAAAAAATCAATTCAATGAACAACTAGAGGAACACTGAGTTCAGCTGTAACGCTCAGAAACTGAAAATTGAAGAGCAGATATTGAAGAGTGTGTTATTCAGTATGAGGGAAACACTTTTTCCAACGGAATTACGATTTAAGGGCACGTTTTGCGTTCATTTGCTGTGCAGACGCTGCCCGTCGACAAGCTAGTTATATTAGCAGGCATAGGAATCTACCATTTTTGCAGCGCATGAATATGTGATAAGGACGCAACCCGGTCGTGAGGAAGGCAATGCTCCGCCCACTGACAGGCCTCATCCAAAGCTCTTTCTTAAGAACTTCCTGGTAGTGCGGTTGGCCCGTTACCGATTCTGCCGCTTTCGAATGATGATAGTGGGGTGATAAGAAGAAAGAGCTGGCATCAGCAAGTGAGAACTCGTCCGACCACGCCCTTTTTTCCCTTATGCACGTACGAGTGGGCTCAGCATGGGGTTCTGCGTGAGCATTTCGGGCAAGTTTTCAGCGCTTTTCTTTCCACTCCTGCGTTATCTAGCACCTTTGCCATTAGTATTTTAACCACATATATCACAACTTCAGAACGCGGGCGCGCCTTCAAGCTCGGTTCGGTATGGGGCAATCGCACCAGGACCCACTCGGCCCAACGAAAAATACTTTAATAACCCGAGAAATGCTGGGCATGCCAGACTGGATTCACTTGTAACTGCAACTCGGACCTATGGCCCGTACATGAAAAAGGGCGCTAAACAATTCCCTGATACTTTTTCACATCGCTCTAACCATCGCTACCAGTTTTGTCTTTCTATGTTCTGCTTTCCCCACCAGTGAATGCAAAAAAGAAAAATAATTAAATTTCAATATTACAAAAAAACTATATGAGTGCAGCTCACTTGAGATTGGCCAATTCTGCCCGAAGCAACCAAAACAGTTTGTGTCCTATCCGATAATCACATAGCGCCTTTTTCAAGAGCAAGCACGACAGCGGGCTATACGACCATGCCTCGCATTTCAGTGCCTAAAAAACATTAGGCGTATTCCGAATCCAACATGGAAATGTACGAGAGAAACAGGCCAGGAGAATCTGAGTACGGCGGCGCGCAGAAAGTAGGGTGACCGCGCTCGCGATGGCGCAGAGCGCATTCATATACCGATGGCTTGGATTGCGCGATCCGACCACGAAATATAAACGCGCTCGTAGCGATTTGCTTTCGATGCGGCTCGAACTACATATGCCGCTACATGATGCGACGCGGCTTTGGTCAGGCGCCGCAACTCGGATCTCCTGACCTGCCCTTGCAGGAGCAAAGGTTTACGTACTTGAATGAATGGAAGGATGAACAGTGGAAATGACTGGTTGTCTAACATTACATCCAACTGTGCCACAGCGAAACGACGAATGATTGGATCCATACACCTGCAAATTGTTTGAACTCTTCAAATGTCGGGAAACATCTGTCAGTGATACTTGTGAGAATTCGCCCCCCCCCCCACCACCTCTCTTTTCCTTTTTTTTTACTCTATATCTACGTCACTGGTGAATCTCCCGCTGAAACTGCTGTCAACATAGAACCTAGATTATTATAAAGCTCCCATCAGACAAACCTTTTTCTCGTGGAGCAAGTGCTGTCGTAAGAAAAATCCAAAGCCCTATGGACCAAAAAAGGAAAAGGGATATGCGTATTCACCTGTTACGCGATCAGTCTAAACTTACCACACGCACTTGCTCCTCTATAAGTGAATTGACAAAGTTTCACCACCGTTGCCCCCTCCTCAATGGTGCGCCCTCGTTCTAATCCCATCAAGAGAAGGGACCTGTCCGATGATAAATGCATGAAACCCCGTTCAGGTCACGTAAGAAGTAGAGATGTCTTTAGAGAAGCTTTCGAACCATTAAACATTTTTTCTAAGGATAGCAATAGCGAAAAATAACTCCTTTATTGCTTGAGAATGCAGATGCGGGTTCCCCCGGTAAAGTCGACCCATGTTTCGATGTCACTACGTAGAGTCAGTGAAATGTTCCGTTCTCATGTCACTTCGGCGTTCCGCAATCGAAGAAGTGCATCAGGAAACTATGATCGCTCACGTTAGTGCTTAATAGAGTAATTTATCGACATGAAAGAAGAACTGCGGCCCATCGTGGTCGGGTTTTTATGAAGAGGATAAATCGTCAGAAAAGTGTACGGTGCTCGAATTTAGATAGCCTTCGATCTTTTTTTGTGCCACAAGGCTATCGATTTTATGATGTCTTAAACTACTGTATTCAACCTTCGGCTTAGAAACTCAAGTCATTTTTTTAATGTGCCTAATTTATTCAGATTACCATATACAATTAGCTATGAATGATTCTTTGGCCTGACAGCAGGTGGAGGGTAGCCCGGTAGAAATGTTGTGTCAGAAACGATGTTATCAGTTAAACAAAGGTTTCATTCAATGCATATTTTTTTTTTCTTTGGAATCCGCCAGATTTTCGATTTTGAATGTGTTTCATATTGGAGAAGACGTTGGTCCAAATTTGCGTCTTGTGGTAGGTCTGACCATAAAATATCGAAGTAATAGGGAGCAACCGTGTCGCACCCTGCCAACACTTTCAATTGCTAAATGCTTGTTAAGCCCCTGTGTAGGGCTATTCATACGATATATTGTAGCTAGTTTTTAAGCTTGACCATTTTAACAAGTCCTACAGGGTGCTTGACAGGTGATAGCAAGCCTTACAGGGTGTAGGTAAGGTTGTTCGGTATGTGAGGCACTAATGTGTGCTGCCACCCCCAAGATTATTAGACCCCGAAAATGTACCAGTAAAGCAGAGATCATCGAATAAATAAAACAAGACTAAAATGGATTTGTACGTTTCAAGCGGTCAAGATCAAAATCTCAAAAATTCTCACCTTTGATTCCACACAAACAATTCCTCTTCTGCTGAAACGACTCCGCCTAACAAACGCTTTCTTATGGTAGCGAGTATCCTAGCGATACTGAATTCATCGGTTTGCTGAAACATGGAAGGAAAAACTCCAAAATGACGACTGCAAATCAGAGCGGGTTAAACCAACCATTTTTTGTGGTTCTTCCAGTGAGCGAACGAATCGCACAAACGGTGCAAACTGGCTACTGTCTGGCATTCTCACATGTGGCGAACGATAGCAAGCCAATTCGATGACCAGGCGACAACTCGACCCTGAGTAAGAGAACAACAGAGCTTCAGTTAAATTAGGTTGAGTGAAAACAGGAGGCACTGTTCGGCTTGGGGGGGGGAGGTGGTCCTGTTAATACATTTTGCCACTTGACACAAATAAAATGATGGCCACTTCAAATGTTTAGCAACTTGACAGGAAAAGACAGTCAAAATTCTGTACCAACCTTGCTTCTTATCATTACTTCCAATTCGACCGTGTGGTGGATATTTTGGCTCCCCGCCCCACAAATTCAACGTCACCACTCCTTGCAGTAGTTCTCCTCTCCAGTCGAGTAAGCGTATATTCACCCAGCCAAGAACACGATCTTCGGACTGGAATCAGCCGCTTTGAGAAATTCAAGAATATTTCTAGCAGCATATTCCCTGTGCTCCAAATGAAAAAAGGGCTTTCATAGGCAAAAACCATAGCCTGGCTCGCTGCGGATCAAGGCGCGTGTCCTGCGAGAAGGATTTGACGCTGTGTCAAGCTCGTTCTTCACCTATTTGTTGCAGTGTGTAAGCGATAATAATTGGTGGAGAACGACTGATGCGGACGGTATGACGCTTGCTTTCTTCAACAGCTGATGAAAAACAGGTCTGTAACCGCGCCAAATCCATGTCGCCGGACACGCCCCTTCATCCGCAGCGAACCAGACTGTAGTCGTGGCCATACAGACGCGCATGAACGTCACCCTCTACTAGTGACACACAGCACAGTATAACGAAACATACCTTTCCCTTCCTTAACTTCGTTTCTACCAGATGAACGGTCAGCACTGCAGCTGGAGGTAAGTCTTTCATGTACAGATCAAACGAAATCATACCCTGAAAAATTACACTTTTTCAATTTTGAAAGACAAAAATACAGTAGTAAAAACTGAAATAGAGTCAAAGTGGACCCACCTCTAACCAACGAGGATTATGACTTGGTACTTTAGAGGAACTCTTACGGGTTAGAGAAGTCTTCCCACAATATACGGTAAATTCGACACTTATCTGGAAAAATAGGCCATGTAGTAAAATACCAAAAAGTAGCAATAAACGAAACCCAGAATCAGCAGTTGGGAAAGCTGAAACCACCCTGAAGACTCCATGTTCAGCCGTGCCCATGTTCAGCAGTCAACGGCCGCAATAAGAGAGATATTCATCCACATCCCAAAGAGTGATATGCGTCTCAGCCGACTCGCTTCCTGCTCCACCAATGCTTCCACTGGGGCTTGCAGCGCCGTCACCGCTTGCCATTCGACTTTCTTCGGCACGCACATAGTTGGGCTGTAAAAATTAGGCCGTAAGTTGCGAAAGTTGGGCTCAATTTACAGTCTCTCAGAATAAGCATCATCAGGTTATAAAATTTACAAGGAGGAGGAGTGGAGGAGGGGGAGGCAAACTGATTTGCTCGTAGAACGTACACATACAATTTACTTCGCAAGGAGTAACA